TGGGCACAATCTCTGCTGTTATCTGAGAAATTATTTCTGATTTCATTTTTTCCAGATTCTCTTTTGTTGCCAGTTCAGGGAGTCCAGGTGGTTGAGTATCAGATTGTTTCATCTCGTTTCCCTTTGGGGTTGCCTTAGGTGATCTGGAAGTCTGGTGTTGAGGCTTGTTTACGCGTCTTCTCATTTCAACAGATGCAGCCTGCTGTGCCTTTGTTTAGGCAACTTTTTGCTCACCCAGCGGTCTGCAACTCTCAGCAAGCCACCGAGCAGCCTTTTCTCTGCTGCTCACCAGTACACTAATTCCTGGGTTCAGAAAGGTGACCTTCTGGATCCCTGAGCTGACCTGTTGTCTGGGTGGGCTTCTGGCTGGGGCCTATGCACACTTGGGATGATATCTAGGTGTGCCACTGGCTAGGCCCCCTATGTAGCTGTTGTCTGGGAGGGTCTTTGGCTGGGGGCTGTGCACCCCAGTTTGTGTTGTGTGAGCAAGCTTCTGGCAAGGGTCTTGCACACTTACTGATGGTATTGGGGCGAACCTCTGGCTGTTGGTTGTGTGCCTCTGCAGCTATTTTCTAGCCAAGCCCTTGGCTTGGGCCAGTGTGCCCCAGCCTCTGGGGTTGAACCAGAGCCCTGGCTGGGATCTGCTTGCAGCTGTGCTGCTCTGGTCCACACCGCTGCTCACCCAACAAAGGTGGTCTGGTGTGCCTTTATTGCAGTTTTTCTTCACTTTTCTGGTGGGCTTTAATTTTTATCAAGGGGCCTCAAAGAGGCCCTCTTTCTGCTGTTCACTTCTATTCTGTCTTCTCAAGCTCAGAGCAATGTCCTTTATGATCCCTGCAACTCTGCAGTGTGGATCTAGGTAATGGCTTGGCACAGCTGGGGAGGGGGAGTGAGCTGGCACCCACACAGCTCATCTCCTCGGTGCTCTAGGGCGGTGGTATGGTGGCCTGAGAGACTCACCTCGGCACTCTGAGGAGGTGGTACAGCCTTTATGAGATAGATTCTAAGTTGCTAAGTTGCCCAGGATAGGCTCAAACTTGCAGTCTTCCTACCTCAGCATCCCAGAGTGCTGGGATTACAGGTGTGGCCACCATACCTGGCTCAGTATTTTTATTTAATTGATAGACTCATATAACTAGTTGACACCTCCATATTATACATAAATACACTTACTCGTATGTAGCCATCCTTCATTTAGTTTTTAATTAACTGATTACAATTAAAATGATTTTTTAAAATCATAAAAGCAATACACATTCTGTGGGAAAATATAAACTATGGGTCAGCAAACCATGGCTAGTAGCCAAACAAATCTGACTTGCACTGTCTGTCTTTGTGTGTGTGTGTGTGTGTGTGTGTGTGTGTGTGTGTGTGTTACTGGGGCTTGAACCCAGGGCCTTTGGGCTGAGCTATATTCCCTGCTCATTTTTTTTCTGGTATTGGGGATCAAACTCAGGATCTTGCACTTGCAAGGCAGGCACAGCACCACTGAACTAAATCCCCATTTTTTGTTTTGTGACAGTGTCTCACTAAGTTGCCAGGTGCCCAGCCTGGGCTCTAGTTTGTGATTCTCCTGCCTCAGCCTCCCAGAGTGCTAGGATTACAGGCATGTTTTACCACACTTAGTTTCACCACTACTTCTTTGGTTTTTTTTTTGGTACCAAGGATCGAACTTGGGTCCTTGTGCTTGCGCAGCAGGCGGCGATCACCACTACTTCTTAAACAAAATTTTACTGACATATAGCCATGATCATTAATTTACATATTACAGCAACAGAGCTGACTGAGACAGACCATATGGCGACAAAGCCAGAAATATTTACGCTTTGATCCTTTAAGATTAAAGTTTGTCAGCCCCAGAAGTAAACTACACAAAAGGATATGTGGAGGGCCGGGGATTTATCTTAGTGGTGCCACCGCCTGCCTCACAAGCACAAGGTCCCACAAAAAAAAAAAAAGATGTGGTAAAACATAAAATCCCTCTCTAAGATCCATTCCTCAAGTCCCGCTGCCCAGAGGTAAGTACTGCTAAGTTCTTATGCATCTTTCTAGAAATAATTGTTCAGATACAAGCAAATATATGCCCCTTTTTTTTTTTACAAATGACTTTATTTTCTTGAACTTCGCATAATCTCTTGAGAATTCTCTGCACCTTTTAAAATAACCAAAGTACTCTGTAGTACCATAAACTTGGTTTGATTATCACTGAACAAAGGATTTTCTGTTTTATAAGCTCTGTTTCAACAGATGCTACAACAAGATTCTAAGCTGCTGTTATCCTTGTAATGTTGAGCAAAAAAGATAGTTTAAAGATCCATTCTTGGTCATGGAGACAGTAAGAAGTAGCCAAATGCAAACAATACCTCTTTGACTTAATAGCTCTTGTTTATAGAACAGTTACATACAGTTGCCTAACTAGTCTCCTACATCTGGTCTAGTTTCTTGCTTTTTCATTTTTTCTCATTATTAACTTTTTTAAAAAGTCTTGTGGCCAGGGATGTAGCTCAGTGGCGCCACTGAGGTCCTGAGTTTGATCCCGGGTACAAAAAAAAGTTTTGTGACATTACACTGTAGTTATGCAAGATGTTAACTTCGGATGAGACTGGGAGAAAGGTGCATGAACACCTTTGCAACTTTTCATGAATCTGTAATGATTCTGAAATAAAAAGAGTTTTTAAAAATCTAATAATACTACGCTCTTGTCTGGGAATCTCTGCTGCCCACAACCAAGGGCACAAAGGCATATTTCCTTTAGAAGGCATTCAGGGCGCCTCATCTGTCCCAAGCCCACCCTCCATGCTCCTCTGTGCCCAGCTGCTTCCACCCCTGACTGCTCAGAGTTCCGCACAGCGAAGCCAGTCCCTTGCACAGTGCCTTTGCATGTACTTTTCTTCAACCTCAAATATTTTTCCAGTTTTCCCACCTGAATGCCTTCTGTTCTCTCCATGCTCAAACAGCTCTTCTCTTGTTACTTAGCCCTTTCCTTCCCTGCTGCAGAAGAGTGGATCATTTCTGTGTCATTGCAGCCTTCTCAGAGAGCTGGGATCTTTCTAGCCATCAGATAAGAAAACCGAAGCCCATTCCGGTTAAGTGCAGAGCATGCAGCTACTTATGCTTGTCCCTGGACCACATGCAGCCAAATATTGCCAGATAAATCATTAAAAATGGTAGGGTGATATCTGCATAGTGTAGAGGGCCCACCCTAAGTAAATCCTCAACCTATGCAAAGTGAATTCATTACTTGGTGCCACTTCTGTTTCTCCTAGCCTGGAAGCTTCTTGAGAACAGGATCATTTCTTAATTTTTACCGTTAGCATTGTTTCAGTGCTAAAGCATATTTGGCACTCTATAAATGTTTTCTGAATGAAGATTTCAAAACACGAATAATGTGTACCTAGGAGTCAGTTGGTTCCCTTCCCCTCTTATCACCTGTAGCTAGAATTGCCTTGAATCTCACGTCTCTAAATCTTTTTGTGTTCTTACCCCCTTGTCCTTGGCCCCAGAACTCCGGATCAAGAGACAGAACTCCTCAGATAGCATCTCAAGCCTCAACAGTATCACCAGCCATTCCAGCATCGGCAGCAGCAAGGACACTGATGCCAAAAAGAAGAAGAAGAAGAGTTGGGTAGGTGAAGGTTTGGGCATGGAAACCATGTAGACCCACGTGGATACTTCCACCTCAGTGTAGGGTTCGATCCTCCCAGGATTAACGAAGCAGCAGACCCTTCTAGTCCTAAGACTATTTCCTGTCTGCTCAGGGCAGTTCCCTGCTTGTCATGAGGCTCTTGCTGCAACCTTAAACATCCTTGCTCCTGGACTCACTATGTTGATTAGGTCAAGTGTATGGCCACAGAAGGAAGTGGAGAAAATACTTAGAAAGTTATGACTTAACGGTTCCTTCCCCTACTCCCTACTTCCTTCTGTACGATGGAAAAAGATTTTATCAACAAAGCCATTCATTCTAGATGTTGCTGGAGGTAACTTCTTCAGTTTGGGAGAGGTGTTGTGGAGCTTCAAAGGGATACTTCAAAAGGACTCTTACGTCACCTCTGGCTGGACCATGGGTGATTTTTTTATGCCTTCCCCTGTAACTAACCTGGCCTTGGATGACCTTTCTGAAATTCATGAATGGTCCCGGCAACTCTGGCTGCCTGCAGAAGGGAGAGTGGCCCCAGGTGGGAACATCTTGCTGCTCTGCACCCCTAGTCAGGAAGACTGTCCCCTCAGACCTTTGTGTAACGCAGATATGAGCCAGCTGTGTGAAATGAGTGATTAAGTGTTGCTTCTTCTTCTTCTTTTTTTTTCCCTTCAAAATGCTGACTTCAAATCCCTATTTTTTTCCAGGTCTATGAGGTAAGAGACCCGGTTCCTCTCCCCTTATTTTCTCTTTCCCTTTGCCATACCTTCCCTATTTCCAGAGCAACTCTTTCCTCCTAAAACAACAAATGGCCACCCATAGCACTAACCCTAACAACCACCGAGTGTTCCTAACTCCACTGCATGGCCCATCCACAGCTGCCCACAGAAGGACAGAGGAGTGGTCTGGTCGTGGGTCGAATGGGAAAGTCGAACAAAATCCAAATCTGTTCCCTACTGTCTTCCCCGGTTGCAAAATTGGCCTATTACAAAAAGCAATTCGGTCAAGCTCATCGTATCCAGGAAATGAGCCTTTTAATTTTTGTTCCATCAAGCCTCAAATGGAGGAGAATCACTGGATGAAAGTTATCCTGAGCACAGTTTCCAGAGGCCACTTCAGTTGAGGCTCAGCCTGAAGACATAGGTGTGAAGTAGGACAACCAGGATGAGGAATATGGCCCAGTCCAGGGCACACTAAAGTCACCCCAAAGCCAGATACCCTCTAAGCATCTGTGGAGTTGCCAAAGAATAGCCTAAGATAAGTAGAAAGTGTACCCAAATTTCTGTTACAAAAAGACACCTACGGTTCGCTCTAACCCTATCCCAGTGTTGTGCTAGGTGTCGTGAAGGGTAGCAAACACTGAGTCTGTTATCTCAGTTATTAAGGAGCCCGTAGCACTGGGAAGACAAAAAAAAATTGTACCTATAAAGTGAATGACAGTCCAGTGGTGCCAAAATGCTTACTTAAAAGGTTTATTGCTAAAGCAATTTACAGATGAGAGAGACTGTGATTATAGGGAGTAGGAAAACATCACAAAGGAGGTAAAATGTGCACTGAGGTTAGGTTGCAATAGGGAGTGAGGAATGTGTTGGGATCCTTCTGCATGGACACTGTCTGGTCAGAAGAGAACAGTGGGCTAGGAAAAGGTCAGTATAGCCAGTGTCCTGTCTGGGTAGGGTAGAGCACAGATGGGAGGGCCTGCTGCTCATTTAAACCTGACTCTTTAGCATTTCCCAAAGTGGGCTGTACAAATCACTAATCCACTGAGACACACCTTAAAAAGTGACACCATCATCAAATAAATTCAAGAAACACAGCATTTTCTACAGTGCAGTTCTGCACAGAAAAAGTTCTGAGATGCCCCTCAGTAACGAATTGTTTCATGTTGCTTAATCTATTGTTTCCTGAATTCGTTTAACCATGGATCCATTAGCCACACAACACCAAATTTCTCCCAGTGGTTCTGCCCCTCAGAATACTAGACTACACATAGAGCACTACTCTCACTGAGAACCTTTATTTTTTTTTTTTGGATACCAGGGATCGAACTCAGGTCCTTGTGCCTTCAGGGCAGGCAGCGGCACCACTGAGCTAAATCCCCAGCCTCTCACTTAGAATCTTTGCTTTTTTTTTTTGGTACCGGGGATTGAACTTGGGACCTTGTGCTTACGAGGCAGGTGCCGGAACCACTGAGCTAAATCTGTGGCCAAAATTTTTGTGACTAGCTTTTTTGTTTTGGTACTGGGGATCAAACTCGGGAACTTGCACTTGCAAGGCAGGTGGTGGCACCACTGAGCTAAATCCTCAGCCCTCTCACTTAGAATTTTTAATGATCTCAGAGAGCTTATGCTCCAGGCAACTTGTGATCACAGGATTCCTTTCTGCATACACATGGACCCAGGGACACACACGTGCACGCGGGCGCGTACACACACACAGCTTCCCATGAGGCAGTGGTGTAGAGAAAGCTTCATTGGATTGAAAATTAGGAGGCCCAAATCCCAGTCCCAGGTCTCCCTGGGTTATGCAGTACCAACCAAGTCAATTCTCTTTTCAGCCTTAGTTCTTCCTCTCTGCAGAGAACTAAGCTTTATGGTTCTTTTGAACCTCAAGTGCTGAATGATCTTATGTGGCCTAGAAGCAGTCAGCTGCCCACATTCTCTCTCCTCATATCCTCACACAGCCAGATTGGTCCTCCTTTATAGCTTGCCCAGTGGAGACCCCATACACATCACCTGCTAGCTCCATCCATCACATAACGGTCTGCTGTGTTCCAGGAGAGATTCTTAGAAAGGATATCTTCCAATTTTCTCTTCTTTTTTCTCTGTCTCAAAGCTCTGGCTTGCCTTTGTCGCCCATCGCTCCCACCCCTCCTTCACTCTGTCTCTTGCTGCCATTCCACATCGTCCCGTGTGTGTGTGCATGCCGTACGGATGCATGTGTGTGGGACACACCCTGATTTGCACTCGCAGCTCATATCCCTAACACCCATGCTCATCAACACCAAGATCAAACAAGCTGTGGTTAGATTATAATGCCATAAGTAGTCTGTGGAAATGCTGGAAAATAGCACTTGTTCTAGGATATTTGAAATAATAAAAAGTGCTAATGTCTGAGTTTGCGATTGCGAGGCAGGCGTGGTGCCACTGAGCTAAATCCCTGGCTCTGTCTGATTTTCTTAACCACTCTGTGATGTGCTAGGCAGAAGAGTACTAAATGTAACTTGGTACCACCACCTTCTCTTGATCTTTACAGAATTGTACCATCAGTGTCTGGTTGATCTGTGAAGCTGTGAATAGATTGAGTCATGATTGACAAGCCCAAGTCACAGGTGCCAAAGTGAGCTAGGTTTAGACTGAGCAGTTATTGGTCTGTTGGAGAAGGTGGGATTGGATTCTTGAGAGGTATGCCATGTAACCTCTGGGAACCTCTCTGTCCTCATACCCCAAGGGAAAGAAGAGACCTGAGAAGATCCCATAGCCTACAGAGGCAGCAAGCCAAAAGATCTCATTCTTTCTCTCAGTCCTAGTTTCTAGGCAGCTCTTCTGTCCATATGCTATGAACCACGTGAAGCCTCATTATAGCAGGCTTAATTGCAACAAAAATATCCCCTGCCTCCATATCACCTTGTCCCAGATCAGTCCTCCCCCGTCCCCAGAGTGGAGCCCTGACATCTGCCTACCTGGATCTGTTCTTTTCTAGCTTCGAAGTTCCTTCAACAAAGCCTTCAGTATAAAAAAGGGACCCAAGTCAGCTTCCTCATACTCTGATATTGAAGAGATCGCCACACCTGACTCCTCAGCCCCCTCCTCCCCTAAACTGCAGCATGGCTCCACAGAGACTGCCTCGCCCTCTATCAAGTCCTCCAACTCGTCCTCTGTGGGCACTGACGTCCCCGAGTAAGTGCTCCAACTCCTGGCCACCGGCCTGGTAGCAGTGTGCATCGGTGGCTTCTTCCTGGCCATGTGAGACCCACAGGGGACCTTGTTGTCATACTGATTGGGTGTCTGTGTGTGGAAAGAGCTGAGACTACCCACCACGCACCCCAGTCTCCCCGCGTAATGTTTCTCCAGGATCCTGGCTGAGCCTTGTTTTCTTACAGGGCGCCTGCTCACTCCGCACCCGCCACGAGGCTCTTCCACACCAGTGCGGAGGAAGAGGAGCCCGAGAAGAAGGAAGTATCGGAGCTGCGCTCTGAGCTGTGGGAGAAAGAGATGAAGCTCACAGACATCCGCCTGGAGGCCCTCAACTCTGCCCACCAACTGGACCAGCTTCGGGAGACCATGCACAACATGCAGGTCAGCTTCAGGCAGAGCTGCAGGGAAGGGGAGCCCAAGGCCTGAGGCATGTCCAACCTTGCCACACTACCCTGTCTGTTCTCCCCACAGCTGGAGGTGGACCTGCTGAAAGCAGAGAATGACCGACTGAAGGTTGCCCCTGGCCCTTCCTCAGGCTCCACTCCAGGGCAGGTCCCTGGATCCTCTGCTCTGTCATCCCCTCGCCGCTCCCTCGGCCTTGCACTTACTCATTCCTTCAGCCCGAGCCTCACAGACACAGGTACCTATTGGGCAAAGGGCCTCTAAGCGTAGAGAGAAGAAGAGTCCATTTCACTGCTCCACTATTCTACTGGTGCAGTGGTTTCTTCCTTGGACGAGGGAGGTAACAGTGTCAAATAAAGCAATGCTAGGGCTGGGGATTTAGCTCAGTGGCACCGGGCCTGCTTCGCAAGCACAAGGTCCTGAGTTCGATCCCCGGTACCCAAAACATAAATAAATAAATAAATAAATAAATAAATAATGCTAGTGTCAATGCTAGACTGGCAGTACTGGAGATGGAACCTTGAGCCTTTGCACTGATGTACATTCCCAGCTTTTTTTTTTTTTTTTTGAGACAGGGTCTTGCTGAGTTGTTGCCCTGGCTGGACTTAAACTTGCCTCCTGCCTCAGCCTCCCAGAGTGCTGGGATTTCAGGCATGCAGCACTAACCCAGCTTCATGTGGTTGTTTTTTTTGGTACCAGGGATCAAACTCGGGTCCTTGGGCTTGCACAGCAGGTGGCGAAAACATTGAGCTAAATACCCAGCCCTTGATGTGGTTTTTAAACCCTAATATCTTTTCAGTTTGGCGGTCCCATTTCCTATTTGTGGTAAATAGTTATTTGGAAAGGATTCTGACTAGAAAGTTTAAGAAAATTTGTGGGTACCTTTAAAACAAATTAGTTTTTTTAATCCCCACAGACCTATCACCCATGGATGGCATCAGCACCTGTGGTCCAAAGGAGGAAGTGTCCCTTCGGGTGGTGGTACGGATGCCCCCTCAGCACATCATCAAAGGGGTAAGGAACTTCAGTGGGGGCCAGGGTAGAAACCAACATAACACAGATGGTCCCCAACTTGACAATGGTGCAAAAGCAATGCATGAAGCAATACTTCAGATTTTAAATTCTGTTCTTTTTTTGGGCTGGCAACATGTAGTATGAAACTTTCTCGAGATACTGGGTGGTGAGAGTGAGCCACAGCTCCCAGTTAGCCAATCCCAAGGGTAGATAACCAATATTCTACAGGGAACTGTACTGTTATGGTGCGATGTTCAGAAGGCTAGAGGTATTAAATGCGTTTTTGACTCAGTGATATTTTCAACTCATGATGGGTTTGTCTGGGTGTTGTGCCACTGTAAATCAAGGAGTATCTGTCTGGTCATGTTTATGCTGGACTCTGAATATTCCCCAAACTAGAGTCTTCAACTCCTAAGGCCTTCTAGGATTTTCCTCCCTTGGAATCATATGTACTAAGACTCACATGGCTCTACCTTAACTTACAGGACTTGAAGCAGCAGGAATTTTTCCTGGGATGTAGCAAGGTCAGTGGAAAAGTTGACTGGAAGATGCTGGATGAAGCTGTTTTCCAAGTGTTTGAGGTAAAGAGATACATGTACTTGCCTCTCATGGAATATTTGAGCTTTCCATGCAGTGAGATCTTGGAGACCTTTATTCAGAGATTCTTTATTCAGAAAAACAAAATAGCAAAACCGTATATTCTCTTTCCCCACGTGCTTTTTGCTTGCTCTAATTTTTATTCATTCTTGTGGCTTTCCCACCTGTGTCTGTATCTTTTCAGTGTTTCTCACCTTCTTCTTCTCACCCCACCTCTTCTATCAGGACTACATTTCCAAAATGGACCCAGCCTCCACCCTTGGTCTAAGCACTGAGTCCATTCATGGCTACAGCCTCAGCCACGTGAAACGAGTGTTGGACGCTGAGCCCCCAGAGATGCCTCCTTGTCGTCGAGGTGTCAATAACATATCAGTCTCCCTCAAAGGTCAGTGTCTTACTTACTTCCCTTGTTGCTGGGACAAAATACCTGACACCCACAATTTAAGGAAAGAGAGGTTTATTTTGGCTCATGTTTCAGTTCATGGTGTCCACTGGCTCCCAGCAAGAATGGCATGGTAGAGGTTCATGGCAGAGGGAAAGCACCTTCATAGCAAGGCAGCCAGGAAGCAGAAAGAGTCAAGGGAGGACCCAGGAAGGGAGCTATAAACTGCCAGGTCAGGCCCACAGTATCCCACCTCTTCTGACCAGACTCTCCCTCCTAACAGCAACCTAGGTATAATGCCCCTATAATCAAATCACCTCCCTAAGGTCCCACCTATGATTTCTTGAGGCTTTAGGGTTACATCTAGACATTAAGCTGTAGCATTCTACCCTTGCCCACCAAAAGACCCATGTGCATCTCTTTATGCAAAATGTATTTAGTCCATCTCTACAAATTGTCAAAGTCCTCACAATTCCAATATTGCTGAAAAATCCAAGTCTAGAGTCTCCTCTGAGACATAAGGCAAACTCTGAGTTATGAGCCCCTATAAAAGTCAAAAGAAAGTTAAACACTGCCAACATACAATGGCACAGGGTAAACTCCCATTTGAAAAGGGAGGAACAGGGGGATAGAAAGAAATTGTATCAAAGCAAGATGGAAATCCAGTAGGGCAAACATTAAATCCCATAATTCCATATTCATCGTCCAGGGCAAGTGGTGGTGAGATGTGATCTCCAAAGGGCTTTGGCAACTACACCCCTACAGCATTGCCCATGGTTGTAGCTCTCATGGCTTCTTTCTTGGTCTGGCTTTGCTCACTCCTTTCAATTTTCCTCAGATGTTTCACATTCTTGGCTTCTCAAATTTCTTGGGATCTACACTGCACTTTTGGCTTCACTCTCACAGCTTAATGCACTCCCCTCTGAGGGGCACACTGCCTGGCCTCCCAATCCTTCTTCTGAAATCTGGGTAGAAGCCTTCCTGATTGCACTCTGCATGCCTGTAAAACCTACATCATATGGATGACATCAAAGTCTGCTGCCAGCTCAAGTAGTAGCTGGGCTTCCTTATGTCATAGCTGCAGAAATCTGAGTGCCTGGATGGCTAAGAGCTGTGAATTGAATCCTGGAGAAAAAATTCTCTAGGTGGTGCTTCTCGAGCATGTTGCCCTAGGGTTCTCTTCTCAAAGCAAATTCTTTTACTTTTGCAATTTTGAGCCTGCAAAGGATGGCCTTGGTGGTTCCTCACATGCCCTTAAGTCATTTTTCCTGTTGTCCTATTGTAAAGTACTTGACTTCTTTGAAATGCTAATCTTTTTAACAATCAAGCTCTCCTCTGCTCCATTTTTGCAGGCCCCAACATTACCAGAGCTTCCTTTCTGGCCAAACTCAAAACTTCAAAAGGGCTTTTTGCTTGAGATCTTCAGTATAAGCCTGGGTAAAAGCAGCAAGCTATGTCACAGCCTCAACACTAGACCGCCTTGAAATTTCTTCCACCACATTAATTAGCCCACCACCCTTAATCACAGTCTCTCACAAAGTTTTAGGACATGAGCAAAATGTAGACAAGTTTTCTGCTAAAACATAACACGTATGGCCTGGAACCCAACCGCCAGTGGAGTCCTTGTTCCCACAGATACCTGCTAAGCCTGGTCCTGACCATCTGCATTTCTGTCACTATTCTTGTCTTCTGAGCGCTGACCAGAATTTCATCAAGCCTGGCTTACACCATTCTAGGGCTGCTTTACAAGCCATCATCTCCAAACCTTTCCAGATTTGTCCTGTGAACCAGTTCCAAAGGCTTCTGAACCACATGGTCAAGTAGCATCACAGCAACAACCCCACTCCTGGTATCAAAATCTGTCTTAGTTACTTCCCTAATTGCTGGGACAAAGTACCCAGCACCCACATCCTTAGGAAGAAGAGGTTTATTCTGGCTCATATTTCAGTCCATGGAGCCCACTGGCTTCCAGGAAGGATGGTACAGTGAAGGAAAAGCACCTTCATGGTATGGCAGCCAGGAAGCAGAAAGAGTCAAGAGAGGACCCAAGAAGGGAGATACAAACTTCCAGGTCAGGTCCATACTGACCTGTTCCAACCAGGCCCCACCTCCTAACAGCAAGTCAGTAATAATCCCCCCATAATCCAGTCACTTCCCAAAGGTCCAGCCTATGATCAAATAAGGCTTTAAGGGTACATGTAGATGTAAACCATAATGGTCTGTCTTTGTCTCTTGGAGTGAGGTGGTACAGCACAAGCACAGAGAGAGCACCATCAAAAAAAATAATGCAGGGGGGCCAGGGATTTAGCGCTGCCTGCCTTGCAAGCGTAAGGTCCTGAGTTCTATCCCCAGTACCAAAATACTACTACTACTACTACTACTACTACTAATAATAATAATGATGCATGCATCCATTCAACAAAAACTTACCAGGAAACTATGATATGAACGTGTTTAAGTAGCATGAACTATGAATAGATGAGCAAGACAAACCCAGTCCTATTTTAGTATATGTGCTGCTGAAGTGAGCACAACAAACCCAGTCCTAACTTGTTCCCAGGAACATTCTTCTTAAGCATGGATTTCTCACTGTATCTATTCACCTCTAGTTCTGAGCATCTCTAAAAACGAGACTCACATTTTCAAAACTAGGTGTGAGGATATTTCCTCGAACTATGGGGCAAGTGGCTCTGGGTTTCTTCAGTGAGCTTCAGATAAAGAAAAGCTCTTGGGGGTCCCTTCCCATCTTGATGGTGGTGGTCAAGACTCACGCTTTCTGGGGCTGGGTACAGGTCTGAAAGAGAAATGCGTGGACAGCCTGGTGTTCGAGACGCTGATCCCCAAGCCCATGATGCAGCACTACATCAGTCTCCTGCTCAAGCACCGTCGTCTTGTGCTCTCGGGGCCCAGCGGTACAGGCAAGACCTACCTGACCAATCGACTGGCCGAATACTTGGTGGAGCGCTCCGGCCGCGAGGTCACCGAGGGCATTGTCAGCACCTTCAACATGCACCAGCAGTCTTGCAAGGTGGGGGCCTCCTGAGAACCACCTCCGCGCCAGTCTTTGTTCAGACCTCAGCCTCACATGAGCCCTAGCCTGGGCCCCTTCCTGCCCTCTCATTCCCTTTCTCCTCCTCCCTGCCTTAACCTTTTCTCCATTCTTCAATGTTCTTTTCCTACCCTTCCATCCCTTTTTCTAGTCTTCTTCCTCATCTGCCCCCAGTTTCTTTCCAGATTTTGGCCCTTGACCCCCCTTTTTCCTCCCTGTAACTTTTTTCTCCACGCTTCCTCTTACCCCTGTTAAGCTGCTTTCCCTTTGATTGATCACTGGGGAAGCTACATCCTCCTTGTTTCTACCTCATTCTGCTGACACTATCGATCCCACCCCTTCTCTATTTTCTTCCTTCTGCCTTTCTTTTCAGTGTTACTATCTGGCCTTGGGCTCTCTGGGAAGAAGCACTCAGAATTAGATATTTCATTGGAGCCCTGTGTCCATCCCCCTTGCCGTCTATTGAGCATAGAATTGGAATCGGTTCAAGTTTTGGCTCTCCTCAGCTGGACGAGGGACATCCATTAACGGTAGCTTGTGCTACCAACCCAGTGAAAAAACATTTATTAGAACAGTGTGTGTTCCCCACCTCTGGGGGTTGAAGGGCCACTGCTTAACAAGCTTAACTGGTGCCTCTGGGACCAGTTTATCAGTCTGTGGTAATCTGTTTTTGTAAGCAGAGTGCAGCAAATAGGAAGCAAAAACCCCAAGGAAATCCCACACTAGCAAAGCTTCTCCAAAAGTATTTCTAAGGCTGCTACAGGTGTGGATTCCTGAGTGCTGACCCTATCTTTTATTCCAGGATCTACAACTGTACCTCTCCAACCTGGCCAACCAGATAGACCGGGAAACAGGGATTGGGGATGTGCCTTTGGTGATTTTATTGGATGATCTGAGTGAAGCAGGCTCCATCAGTGAGCTGGTCAATGGGGCCCTCACTTGCAAGTACCACAAATGGTAAGCTGGGGTTGGGACCAAACATTCCACAGTTTGGACAGAGGGAGAACTCAGTGAAGTCCAACTGACAGAGCAAGCAAGTGGCAGAAAGCAAGGGTGAAGACACATTTAAGTGAATTTTTCTCCCCTTCCTTCCCACAGTCCTTATATTATAGGTACCACCAATCAGCCAGTAAAAATGACACCCAACCATGGCTTGCACTTGAGCTTCAGGTAAGACCTATGACCCTGGATGAGCCTTCTGAACCCACCCAAGAACCTATAAACTAGTGAGTAGAGGAGCAACAAATAGCAGAAAGAAAGAGAAGTAGCCAGAGCCCTTCAGGCTGAGAAGAGAAAGTTAGTATACTTGCATGTCAGTTACAGAGTGGAAGAGGGTGCTTGAGGAAAGGAAAGGAAAAGAGAGGAGCAGAAAGGGGAGGGGAGGAGAGGAGAGGAGAGGGGAGAGGAGGAGAGGAGAGGACTGCAACATTAGCCGGGACTCTGGTAGGCTGCTATAAATAGGATTCTCTGCCTGTCCATCATGATTGACATCAGTGAAGTCAAGTATTTGTTTGAAGAGTGTCACTGATTTGAGAACAGCTCTGCCTGAGCAGAGCTACTGGCCTGAATTCAGTTGTCACCACTAATAATTGAGAAGAAATCAAGTGGGCATAAGTGGAAGGCAAGCAGAAGGGGTGGCCTGGCAGGGAATGAACCCTGACAGTGTCCCCATTGCCACTGCAATGCAACTCTCCCCATCCCTGGTGGCAGGATGCTGACCTTCTCCAACAACGTAGAACCAGCCAATGGCTTCTTGGTGCGATACCTGCGGAGGAAGTTGGTAGAATCTGACAGTGACATCAATGCCAACAAGGAAGAGCTGCTTCGGGTGCTGGACTGGGTGCCCAAGCTGTGGTATCACCTGCACACCTTCCTTGAGAAGCACAGCACCTCAGACTTCCTCATCGGTACTGGGGTCCAGCTTCCCTCTTGTTCCTCACCACCCGGAAGGGTGCTCCCTTTGCTTTTTGGAGTCTTCAGCCTATAAAGGAGGTGCAAGTCTTGTGGCTTCAGACTTAAAACCACTGAAGTACATAATTCAGTTAGCACTATGAATTGGTTGAATCACCTCAACCATCTGAAAGCTAACCCCAAGCCTGGTGGTAACACACACTTGTAGTCCAAGCCACCTGGAAGGCTGAGGTGGGAGGATTCCTTGAGCCAAGGAGTTTGAGACCAGCCTGGGCAGCATATTTAGACCCCATGTCTGAAAAATAAAGATGGTAGTGCACTTGCCTAGCACGTGGAAGGTACCCCTCCCTCATTTTCCCCCCACAATTAGTGGAAAAAAAGGAAAGTCTGTAAGAGGGAATCAAAAAGCTTCGCTCACTTCCTTGTCACACTTGCACCTTGTGCATAATTTCTGAGACTGTCAGCATCCCCTGGCCTTGAGGACTCTAAATTTCTTTTAATGCTTTGGATGTCAGAACCCTCTGCCTGGTACTCAGGAGTAAAAGAGGCAGGCACAAGCCCGGGGAGATCTGGGTTTCTCAGTCATTTTCAGAGCCCAATCCTTTTCCTAGGCCCGTGCTTCTTTCTGTCCTGTCCGATTGGCATCGAGGACTTCCGGACCTGGTTCATCGACCTGTGGAACAACTCCATCATTCCCTACCTACAGGAAGGAGCCAAGGATGGGATCAAGGTGAGCCCCGCGTTCCTGCTGCACTCAGACTCCAGGGTCAGAGTGGCCTTCCTAACAGCATTTCTTTCAAGTTGGGCATGGCAGTACCCAGATTGGTTAGTTTCTCATTCTAGCAGTTAGGCCCCGTGCTGGAGAGAATGAACTGCTCTCCTTCCAGCAAGTGACCCAGCAGCCACTGTCTCTGCTCCTCTCCTAGGCTTTCTGAGCCCAGTACAGACCACTCTGGAGGGGTCAGAGTGAACAGAAAAACAACTGAGCTACAGATTAAGCCTTAGTGACTCACTGACTACAAATAAATGTTACATTGACCTAAGTTACTTAAACTTTTTTTTCCCCGTTGTTTATTGGTTCCTTTTTAGGTATACAATACAGTTACATTCATCATTGGGAGCTTGTACCTGTACATGATGTATCTTGGTTCTTATTTTTTCCCCATTCCCCTTCCCTCCCTTCAACCCTTCCACCCCTCCCTATTTACAAAGACTTTGTTTCCATTTTTTCCTTTTCTCATATTTTTTCCTTTCCCTTCTTTCCTTTCCCCTACCCCTTTAGACCTTTTCTTCCTATTTCACATTACTTATTGTCTTCATATGTACAAAAAGGAGATAAATTCTGCTCTACCTAAATCACAGGGTTGTTTTGAAGACAAAATGAAATGTGTGAAAAAAACCTTTTTTTTTTTTTAAAGTTAAAAAGCTTAGTGTAAGCCAGGCTTGGTGGCACTTGCCTATAATCCTAGCAACTGGTGAGGCTGAGGGAGGAGGATCTCGAAAGTTCAAGCCCAGCCTGGGCAACTTAGCAAGACCCTGTCTCAAAATAATTTTTAAGGGCCAGGGATTTAGCTCAGTGGTTCTGCTGCCTGCCTTGCAGGCGCAAGGTCCCAAGTTTGATCCCCGGTACCAAAAAAATAAAATAAAATAAAAATAATAATAATAATAATTTTTTAAAAGGCCTTGAGGAAAAAGAAAAAGCTCAGTGGGCCAGGGATTTAGCTCAGAGGTTTCACTGCCTGCTGCGCAAGCACAAAGACCAGAGTTCAATCCCTGGTACCAAAAAAAAGAAAGAAAGAAAGAAGCAGCTCAGTGATAGAGTACTTGCCTAGGATATTTAAGGCACACAGTTCAATACCCAGCACCACTGGGGAAAAAAACCAAAAAAACTGTGTAAAAGGAGACATTATTTATTATTATTATTATTATTAATGTATTTTAAACTGGTATATAAAAATTATAAATATTAATGGGGTACCATGTGTTGTCTCCATACATGTGTATATTGTGTAATGGTAAAAATATTCTAAATCCTTTTCTCTAGCTTATTTTTTTGGTATTGGGGATCAAACTCGGGTCCTTGCACTTACGGGGGATTTACTGAGCTAAATCCCCAGCCCTTGTCTAGCTTTTTGAAATATACATTGCATTGTTGTTATTTATTTTTACCCTACTGTGCCATAGGACACCAGAATGTCTTATTCCTACCTAACTGTAACTCAGCACCCATTGATCAGCCTTGCCTCATTCCTGTCTCCCTAACTCTTTCCCCAGCCTCTGGAATCTACTATTCTACTTTTTCTCTCCCCCTCGTTTTTCTTTGAGACAGACATGCTGGCCTTGAATTCATTATGTAGCCCAAGGTGGCATCAAACTTGTGATCTTCCTGCCTCGGCCTTCCAAGTGCTGGAATTACAGGCATGCACCACCTCACCTGGCCTCATTCTACTCTTACGTTTTTGAGATCATCATATCTGATTCCACATATGAGTGAGATCAGGTGGTATTTCTTTTTCTCTGTCTGGCTCACAAATAACAGGATTTCACTCCTTCATGGCTGAGTAGTATGTTCCATATGTACCATATTTTTTTATTGATTCTTCAGTTGATGGAAGTTGATTTCATATCTTGGCTGTTATGAATAGTACCGCAATAAACATGCGAGTGAGGATGACTCTTCAACATATTGATTTCATTTCCTTTGGATTTATACCCAGTAGAAAAATTTCTGGGTCACACAATATTCTATTTTTTTTATCTTTTGAGGAACCTCCATACTGTTTTTCACAGTGGCTACATTAATTTACATTCACACCAACCACGTGCAAATGTTTCCTTTTCTCTACATTCTCATCAGTACTGTACCTGTGAGCTGGCTGCGGTGGTATGCACCTGTAATCCTGGCACTCTGGGAGGCTGAGACAGGAGGATCTCTCAAGTTCAAGACCAGCCTGAACTATATAGTGAGACTTTGTCTCAAAAAAGTATTTTACTGGGGCCTGGGATTTAGCTCAGTGGTTCTGCCACCTGACTTGCAAGCGCAAGGTCCCGAGTTCAATCCCCAGTACCAAAAAAAAAAAAAAAAGTACTTTACTTATTATCTTTAGTCTTTTTTTTATTCTTTTTTTTTTTTTTTTGTACCGGGGATCTAACTTGGGTCCTTGGGCTTACGAGGCAGGCAGCAGAACCACTAAGCTAAATCCCCAGCCCCCTTTAATCTTTTTTTTGAAGCAGGGTCTTTCTATGTAGTCCACCCTGGCCTTGAACAATCTGTGTAGCCCAGGCAAGTGTGGAGATTATAGGCATGTACCACTATGTCCATCTCTCTCTTTTTTTTTTTCTTAATACCAGGGATCAAACTCAGGACCTTGTACTTGCACAGGCAGGTGCCAGAACCACTGAGCTAAATCCCCAGCTCTATGTCCATCTCTTTAGTCTTTTTGTTAGTAGCCATTCTTAGTGGGGCAAGATGATATCTCATTGTGATTTTGATCATTAAAGATAAGTGATATTGAAGATTTTCTCATATACATATTGGCCATTTTTATGTCTTTTGAGAAATGTCTAGATCAGTCTATTGTCTATTTAGACTTTTTAAAAAGCCTCTTCAGTTTTCTCACCTGTAAATTGGGGTGTAATGATCACTAACATTCATCCTAGTACAAATAAAGTAAGATGCAATATCTGACCCCTATCGGTCATGTATTATCCAAAAAAAAGTAATTTGTTACTGCTTTAGGGATCTTCTGATGATATAGTAAATTTCTAGGAATGTTATCAGAGTGATGCCAGGAATCATTTCATTTATAAATTTATGACATTTTAAGGAAATATGTGTTATTAATAGATTGCCAATTTTAAAGCATTTTCACAGAAATATCATGTTTTCAAGAAAGTAAACAATAATGTTAAGTATTACAATGAAATGGAAGAATTTCCTACTTGAAAAGTAAAATTGAAAGCTCATAAAATTGTGTAGCTGGGGATGGTGGCACATATCTGCACTCCAAGCTACTTGGGAAGCTGAAGTGGATGGATTGTGAGTTCAAGGCCAGCCTGGGCAACTTAGCATCTCATCTTATCTCAAGATCTTATCTTAGCAAGATCTTATCTCAAAAACAAAAAAATTGTGAGGTTAAGTTTTAATGTGACTTATGTGTCCATCAACAAATGAATGGATAAAGAAAATGTGGCATACATATTCACATATGGAAATCTTATCATTCTCAACAATGTGAATGAACATGGGAGGCATTATGTTAAGTGAAATAAGCCTGGCCCAGAGAAGCAAATAATGTACAATCTCATTTATATGGGGAATTGAAAGGAACATATAGAAGCAGAAGAGAATGGTGGTAACCAGGATCTGGGGAGGTAAGGGTTGGGGAGATGTTGGTCAAAGGATACTGTATTAGTCAGCTTTCTGTTGCTAGGGAAAAATGCCTTACATACACAACTTAAAGGAGAAAAGGTTTATTTTGGCTCATGGTTTCAGAAGTTTCAGTCCATGGTTAGGTGTTTCCAAGACAGAAACATCACAGCCAGAGGGCATGTTGGAGTAAAGCTGCTCAACTCATAGAATCCAGGAAGCAGACAGCAGGCAAAGAGGCAGAGAGGACAGGGACCAGATATAGTCCCCACATTTACACTCCCACGACCCACCCAGGCACACCCACAAGTGTGCTTCCTAATTAATCTCCTAGACATCTCCCAAGCCAGTCATGCTGACAGTGAAGACTGACCACCACGAGCTGGGCATGGTTGTGCACGCCTGTGATCCCAGGACCCAGGAGGCTAAAGCAGAAGTACCAGGAGCTCCAGGCTAGACTAGGCTACATAACAAGTTTGAGGCCATCCTGGGTTACATAGTGAGACCCAGTTTCAAAAAACCAAAAAGAGGGCCGAGGATTTAGCTCAGTGGTTCCGCCACCTGCCTTGGAAGTGCAAGGTCCTGAGTTCGATCCCCGGTACCAAAAAAATGTAGCCAGACACAGTGGTGCTCTCCCATAATCCCAGCACTTGGTAGGCTGAGGCAGGAGGATCAAGAGTTCGGGGCCAGCCTGGACTACATAGCAATGCCTTATATCAAAAAACAAAGCAAAGAGAGAGGCAGAGGGACAGATGGAGAGAAAGAGAGAAGAAGGGAAGATGGAAGGAGAGAGGAAAAAATGTTCAAGTTTTAATATGATCTGTTAAATTGTCCTCCAAAATGATTTTACCAGTTTAAAAACTTCTTTTCTTTGGAAGCTCAGGAATTTTCGACAGGATCAGAGCCTCAAGTCTTTACCTTTGAGGAAAGGTGTTTTTCCAAAGAGCATGTTTATTGTGGGAACTATAAGAGACTGTGTAACCAGCCCTCTAAATCTGTGGGTCCCTCCCATTAACTAGTTTCTCCTTCTCTCCAGGTCCATGGACAGAAAGCTGCTTGGGAGGACCCAGTGGAGTGGGTCCGGGACACTCTTCCCTGGCCATCAGCCCAGCAGGACCAATCGAAGCTGTACCACCTGCCCCCACCCACCGTGGGTCCTCACAGCATGGCCTCACCTCCGGAGGATAGGACAGTCAAGGACAGCACCCCGAGTTCTCTGGACTCAGACCCACTGGTGAGTAGGAGCCATTTGGATGTGAAAAGAACATGACAGAACTGAATTCTTCACAGAGTTTCAGCAAGGCCGGTACCAGGAGGCCAGAGAAGAGCTCTGAATATCAGAATCTTTGATTAGAAAGGTTGTACACCTGAGACCTCGCTTAGGCTGAATAGTGTAACACATCCCAGAAAGACGTAGTATGATGAAGACCCAAGTTCCATGAAGATCCCATGTGGGAATATCTAAAAGAAAAGTAGAGGAAGAAAACACCTTAGCACTCTCTCTACTTCCACCTCTCCTCTGATACTGTCCTGAGGGTTGCCCCAGCTAAGTGAGTCCACAGAACCCTATGGACAGCAGGTGGCAGTGGGGGATAGACTGGTGGGGCCTGGAGTGTAGCCAAAAGGCGATTCATTAGTAGAATGCATAAAACTTCAAAGAAAACTTTCAAACAGAACAGACAAAAGATGTAGACGGTCATTTGACTGGAGAAAATGCATTAAAAACTCTTCAGCCTCTCTGAGAATAAAGGACAGAAAATTAAAACAAGGAAATGTTTCACATTTGCAAAAAATAGTGTGTGTAAGCATGGATTTTCACACTCTGTTTGTGGGAATGTTCATTGGTAAAACCATTCTGGAAGATAATTTAGTAGGTTATGTTAAAACTCAACACACACAATCTGGTGGCATAACCATTTTATTCAGTTGCCAGGCATGGTGGTGCATGCTTATAATCCCAGCACTATGGGAGGCTGAGGCAGGAGGATCGCAAGTTCTAGCTCAGCCTGGGCAACTTAGTAACTTAGCAAGACCCAGTCTCAAAAAATTAAAAACTAGGAGGGCCAGGGATTTAGCTCAGTGGTTCCACCGCCTGCCTCGAAAGTGCAATGTCCCGAGTTTGATCCCTGATACCCACCCCCCAAAAAATTAAAAACTGGGATATAGCTCATTGGAAAAGCCCTGGGTTCAGTGACCAGGACCACCACATACATACACAAAAAAATTCCAGTTGAGTCACATTTTTATTTAAATTTTAACTTTGTTTTAAAAACATGTAATTTATGTTAAAAATACTTTTAAATTGGAAAACTAATAATTAAGTGGATAGAAAAAGGTGGAAGGCACGGGTTTTTTTAATAGAATCAACCAGGCTTACTTAGCTAAAAACGAGAGTTCCAAACTTGAAGTATCAAGGGAAAAAAGAAGTAAAGAGAAGGAGCTGCTAGGAAAAGTGTCTTCTGACTGTCCTCGTGGTCCGACTGAGTGGGCCACTCCTGTAATCCCAGCTACTTGGGAGACTGAGGCAGGAAGATCATGGGTTCAAGGTCAGCCTGGGCAACTTAGTGCTAGACCCCATCTCAAAATAAAAAGTCAAAAGAGCTGAGGATGTAGGTCACGGAGCACTTGCTTGGCCTTCAGGAGCCCCTGGGTTCAATCCCCAGTATGGGGTGAAGACAGCGAGGGGAATAGGAAGTAAATACACTGAAGTGTGTAGACTTGACACAGGCTTTGTGAGCTGCAAAGAAACAGTTTCGTAGTAACAGGAAGCCAGGCTGTTGGGTCATAATCTGTTGTGAGAGGGATTGTTAGAGACAGATGTTCCCACAGCACTTATGCCGGTATGAGGGGTATGCAGATCTGCTGTCCTCCCTGAAGTACGGACACCAAGCAGGTGGAGGCAGAGGCAGTCATGTACCTTTGGTGTCCTCCTCCCACACACATCACAGGTAGCACTTTATACAGCAGACATACCCTGAAGCAGTCATACATGAAGCAATCATTGCTGTTTATTTCATGAACTACCTCTACACCAAGTTGCTAATCACTTCCAAACCAAGCATCAGACCCACGATCTAGGTTTTTTGTTTCCCTTCTGAGGGCAAGACCCCATGTCCCCACTCTCATTAATGCACCTCTTTCCCCTCTCTAGATGGCCATGCTGCTTAAACTTCAGGAGGCTGCCAACTACATTGAGTCTCCAGATCGAGAGACCATCCTGGACCCCAACCTCCAGGCAACGCTCTGAGGGTCCAAGAGTCACTGTCACCCCGGACCGCAGGAAGCTGGCATCAGCTTCGTTAGCTCCTCCTCTCCCCTCTTCTCTCAAAGCACTGGCTCTCTAGCCCTGGGAGGAGAACAGGAGGGAGGAGGAAGACAGGAAGAGGGGCAGGTTCTTGGTGCTGCACTTTTGAGAACTTCCTCGTAGGGATTTGGTGGGGTGGCGTTTGGGAACTTGTGTCACCTAAACACATTTACTGGCCTCCTCTCATGACTTTGGGGAAAAGATGATTCTGGGTCTTTTCCTTGTTTTCTTGTTTCAATTACAAACTCCTGGGCTTTCTGAGGAAGGGTTCAGAAGACATCAAAAGGCTGCAGCAGTTCCTAGCTGATTCTCATGAGCAACTTTGAGACAGTCCCAGGTGGGGGAGTCAGAAGGCAGGACGCTTTGCTGGCTGACTTTCTCGCAGACCCTTCCCAAGTCTGTCACCACTGCCAACAACTCTTCCCCCAGAGATCTGGCTGGAGCCCAGAAAAAAAGCATGTGGTTTAAAAAATGCATAAGTCAACCTGTATATGGTAACGGGCAATGGCAAAGATGAAGCTGGAGAGGGACCCAGTTGCCAAGGCAGAAAGAGAATCCCCAGCTCTTGCCTTCTGGATGATGTAGGGGATGTTGGCAGGACGGCTGCCAGTCTGAGAAGTCACCAAACCACAAAAGTAGCATCACAGCCTTCAGAGGGAGACCACTAGCTGTCTTTCCACCTTCTAATTCAACATGCATGAGAGCCAATAAACCCTACTTTTTTATTTTTTATTTTTTAATTTGTTCTACTTTTTCTGCCATTTGCCTATTTATTTTTCTCTCCCTCTCCCCCATTTCCTCACATGTCCATGAGATACTTGAGTTGTTTCTCCAGGGGCTGGTCTGGCTTTTCCAAGTGGGCCTTCTACGGAGAATTTGATGCCATCTAATTGGTACCAGCTAGACACCTGCCGTGCCACTCTCTTTGGCATCCTTGGGGCTTATATGAGACATGAAGTACCAGCTCACCAGTAATGGGAGAAGAGGCACTCAGTTCTCTTCACTTTCCTTTTGGAAAAACACATGTTCTGCCTGAGAGCTCAGTTACCAAGCTCTGGCATAATAGATCTGTTCTGAGCTTCATTGTGGACTGGAGGAAAACCTGGAGATTGGAAATGCTCCTCTGTGTCATAGCCCGTTTGCCAACTTACTGCACTATTTGGACGGTAGCCACTTTGTCTGACTGAATCAAAATTCCCTGAATCAGCCCTTAACTATGTATTTGTTTTTGATAGGTGGATATTCACTTATAAGAAACTGACCATACACATGAGATACTCTAAATCTGAATATAAAGTTCAAGGAGTTTGATTTGGTGGTGAATATCTGCCTTCCAAAGAGATCCTACTTCTTACAAAAGTTGCCCTTTTCCTACAACCCTGGAAGTCTGGCAGTCCATGTTCCTTCTTTGGACAAGTACTTACTGAAAACTTGTGTACCAGTCACTAGATGAAAAACAAAGACAAACCTTGAGCCCTGAGGTTCATGGTCGGTAGGAATGTTACCATCCACTGGGTGCACACCCCCTGTGTTATCTGGACCTTGAGGATCATCTAAGAAATGGAGCTGAAACTCAAAGAGTCAGCTAAAAAGTAGCCTTTGATTAGATGTCCAGTACACTGGGTGCGGAAGATCTGGGATCAATTAAGATCTGGAGGACCATGGGATCTTGCTTGTCTAGAGTGGGCAAGTCTATTCCTAGCATTTCTGACAGTCCTATGGGACCAGATTCCAGGCCAGCTGCCCAAAAGACTGAATTTCAGGGTACTTGTGGATCAGGGATATGTGATGAGCCTGGAGTTGAGTGTTTGCTCTTCAGATTCCTAAGTAGCGCAAGACATCAGAATCTATAGGCATACTAACTTGGATCACTGTTCCACCAACCTAGGAGTAGACATATCCAAATCTTACATCAGAATATTTTTATTTAGGTCAACAAGATGCTCTGCACCCCCCAGAAAAGCTCTGTAATGTCACCAGATGGCACCCAGGGATGACAGGGTCCTCTGTGCTGGATACTGTACTCGCTCTTGCTGCTAATCCCATGAGCTGTGAAGATCCCCAACAACTCAGCTGTAAAATATGCAATCTGTGGTGGGAAGAGGCTGTTTGTCCATGGATGGTGCTGAAATCACTGCCTTAAGGTCTCTGCTATGCAGAATGAGGAGGCCCCAGGGCTGGGTGTTCCAACTTGAAAGGCAGGGAAGACCAGACCGGCCTACTTTGGGCTTAGACCTCTTCTAAACCCCATCCTAAGCTCCAGACCCATGGCAAGGCTCAGACTTTTAATGCCACCCTAACCTGATGGTTGAGCCCCTAACTCTGTTTTCTGGTGCTGCCCAGCCAGTGCCTTCTGACATGGATGTTACTGGCTACTTGAGAAAAAGGAAGAGGGAGAACCCCTCCTTCCGTTCCAACTGCCTCAAATCACAGAAGATTCTTGTGTTTCTGGTAACCATGGATACCATCATGAATCTTTTTGGATCCTCAGCAGGTTGTTTCTGGAGGCCTCTCATGCTATGACTTTTCATTTCTGTTCCTGGGATTCACCACCGTCTACTCTCGGTTCATTGCTGCATTTAGCCCAGGTCTCTAACTGCTTTCCTCCAGAAAGTGTGTTCCCATCTGGTAAAGTGGTAGTGAAGCCTCAGCTTTTCCTCTGGAGCCTGAGACCCTGTTTACAGTTGCACATCTGGGCCTCTCGTGGTGGGGACCGATGGTCTCACAAAGGAATCATGGTTATGTGGCAACTGCCGAAGGTTGAGCCTCCTCATGGTGCTATAACCCCTTGGGGCGTTCATCCAGACTTCTCTGAAGCATAAAAACCAAGCTGCCCCCTCGCTGCCCTAGAATTAATGGCAAGGAACAAATCCACAGCATTCTTTCCTGCCTACACACCTACTTCTTGGTTGAGACTTCTGGGACCCCGAAGAAGATAAAAACCGGGTCCGCTAGCTACAATCTCAACCCCTAAGCACCTTTGGAAGAATCCAGCCTAATTCTGGAATTTGTGCTATTCTGTTCCTCTCCAGCCCCCCGACTTCATCCCTCAGCAAAGTTGGCTAGTACAGAACATGGCTCGATGCTCGCCATCAACCTGAAGAGAGCCACATCTCTGGGAGAGGTTCCTCTGCAGAGACCCCCTCACTTCTTGTGAAGAAAACCAATAAGATGTGTCCAATGTATTTGTTTCTCAGTCCCTGCCTAGGTACTAAAAATAAAATACTAGGTAATTGGAGGCCAACATGGGACCTGATGTCTGTGTGTGTGTGTGTGTGTGTGTGACACAAGAGCACTTTTCTGTTGCTGTTTCCTATCTTCTGAGGCTTCATAGAGTATTTTTTAAAAATCCATGCTTTGTGGCAACTCTACGGTGCTTATTTCTGTCTTTGTGTAAATCTTAATACCAGTGTCCTTCATCTAGTCTAACCATTGGGAAGGTAGAGGCTCGCAGGGAAAAACTAGCTACAAGTCCATGATGACGCCCTATCTAGTGATGTTCTTATTGGTTGGGATACTATATTTTGGTCTTGAATGACCAACCTTCTATCCATATTCCTTAAGAACTTAGGACAAAGTGATTTTTTTTTCATTTCTTTCATTCTGGATTTCCTGCCTTGCAAGAGTCATAATGGACCAATCTCACCACGAGCTTACCTCTAGCTCCCTGAGGCAAGAGTCACAATATTCAGAGGCACACCACCTTCCACTGGTCTGAGAAGTAACTATTTCCTGTGGTATTCCAAAAGAGTAAGAAGCGAGCAGTAGTGGCCTGCCGTTCCTCACCAACACCTCACATTACCTGGAATATGGCACACATGTACAGCAACCTGGCACATTGGTGAACTTGGCCTGATTGAATGGGACCCAGTCCTGCAAACCAGGATCAAAGAGACACTTATATGAGGCCTAAAGATTCTTTCTTACAAGCTGTATGGGAGAAGTCCTAACCACACACTGAACACAGGGTTCAGATACTGAAGCGCCCCAGACCATCAAATGCAGCTCATCACACTTTACCTTTTCTTTCCTTAATGCTTGGCATTAGCTAAACCGAAGTTACTAAGTAGACTGTATAAACCAGTGCCCCCTGATAGCATGAAAAACTGCTTTTGCAGAGGGTTTACTAATGGAAATGGATATACTAGTGGAATGCTAGTACACTCTTATGATGACCATAAGAACTACTCACAAGTTCTGGTTCATAGCCCCACTGAAAAGACCAAAAGTATTAAAATGGTTTTAGGGGCACTATGTTCCCATAAGGCCAAAGAAGATACTGCCCTTTATAATTGAATCAATGTTATATATTAAATGAATCCTCAGTAAGCCTGCTCAGGGATATATGGAGCCTCCAACTTACTCTGCCCACTGCAAAAGGCGTATGTGTGTCTGCTCCTCCTAGACCCTGAAGCAAGTACTGTGACTGTAGATCCCAGGGAAGCTGGACTGAAGTGGAAAGTGCTAGAGCCTTGAAGTAAGAGAACCAATTGGAATTCGGAAGCTACAGTTGAAACTGCCCAAGACAGTTAAAAGTTAAGTTTATTTATACTGGCTCTATCCATCTTGATGTTTGGGCCATTTTTCTTAGTGATTACACCATGGAGAATTTTCTGCGGCAAGGGTGATCATGAAAAGTGGTTTCTCAATTTGACCATTCGCTCCTAAAAGCAGTGGAGATCAGAGGATCATTCCAGACCAGCATCATCTGTGAACTTGTTAGAAATTAAGTTCTGAGGCCCCACCCAGATCTATTGAGTCAGAAACTCTAGGGCTAGGGCCCAGCAATCCATGTTTTTAACAACACCCCCCGCCAACACACAGTGGATCTGATGCATGCTAATGTTTGAGATTCAACCATTGTAAAGGCAAAGCTACTCAGAGGGGCTTCAGGAACAAAAATAAGAAGGTCTCAGGTTATAAATCATATGCTAATATTACTTTTAAAGTCACTTTTCTCCTACTTATGTTTCTGGTTTTGCTTATTTTAAATTATCAAAGGAAACAATATGTGTACTTTGGGGCAGAAGTTAGGAGAGTACATGCATCTTCACTACCTGAATGCAGTCTTCAGAGAAAAATTTCTTATCCCTGAAATTTCTATCTGGCAAACTAAGGAGCTTCAGCAGAGGGAAGCATTTTCTCTGGACTGCTCTTCTTGTGTCTACTGAATCTCTGATTATGAAATAGGGTGGACAGTAAAAAAAATGAAAACATCTAAATTATAGTTCCGTGCTAAAATGTTCTCCCAGTAAAATAACCTCTCCCTTCCTTGAGGTGTAAAGTACACTGCTAGGTCTGAGAACCACCCAGAACCTTCTCCAAGGCAGCTAACAACATTAGGGCTCCAGTCTCCCAGGAAGCCCTGGGTCCATGCTCTGCTCAGTGCACAAGAGACAGTTCCACTCTGAAGACATGGAAGTGGGCACCTAAGTCCTTAGGCTCACCTCTTCCTTTCCTCACATTAGGACCTGGGTACAGAACTACTCAGCAAAGGTGACAGAATAAAATCCTTTAAAAAAGAAATCTGAAAGGAGCTTCATATCTTTCCAAACTCACAGACCAGCTGATGGGGCCATGGGGAGGAGGAGGCTATTCAAAACTGGTTTTGTTTCTCATGGGTTGGTTTTCCCTGTGAGAGAGCTTTTGGGCAGAGCACAGAGAAACACAGTGATACTAATTCTCCTGAGCGGAGGCACTAAGCACTGGGAGGACTGACGCCTGAGGAGGACGAGAGTAAACAATTGCACTAAAATCACCCTTTCATTCCCGGGAGACCCATGATGGGTCCTCTGGCATCTCCTGCCGGGTCATCTTGCTTCTGCGCCATTTTTCTGAGAAGGAAGATCAATAAGATAAGGAACAAGCCCACAAATCTCAGCCAGTCTCTGGGCTACTACTGTGCAGTACCCACCAGCCATTTCCTAATTTATTTTTAAGTAATTCTTTAATGACTTCTAGTCCCTGCTAGCATCCTTTCCTTCCTCCTCCCCATCCTGCTTTAGGCAGCACTGTTTATGTGATGGAGCCTATTTCTCAAATGCATGACATTCCTCAGGTGGAGGGTGGGCAGGAATTTTCACATCACTTTAATTTATTGGGTGCAAAACCCCAAAACAGGATATGTGTGTGTCTGTGTGTTTATGTTTTGTTTTTTTTTTCCTCATTTGACCCTCACCTCTTCTAACCTACCCCCTTTTATATCAAATTGTAGAAAAAGCAAAGCTGAATCTGGAAAGCAAACCGTTGTATATAGTTGCGGTAACAATCATGAAGAGATCTGGGTTGTCCCCTCAGTAATTCATTTTAAATAACAAATTGGTTGAAAATTAAATTCATGCCTGGGCCAGCTGAAGAGGCCCTCCTCCGTCATCACAGAGGCCCTCTGGGCCCTCTGTCCATCAGGCATGTCTTCCCAGCTAGAGTCATCTGTTCGATGCCATTTGCGTTTCAATAAAGTTATCTCCTGTATTGTCACTGGTTCTCTCTAGCTCCCTCTCTGCCTGGTTTCTGTCTCCATGTATCTTACGGCCCACAGCTTGAACTGGAAGGTGAGATTGCTTGTGGTCATTTGCCTAACACAGAAACAAAACTCACTGGCCTAAAAGTTGTCTGACCCTAAGCAAGGGACTCTTAAGTCCTTTGGTTGGGAGTTGGGGGGGACTCCATTTTGCATACTGTGGACATAGTATCCTTCACAAGAATTCAACACAGCCACCCCAAGAGTCAGGGCTCTTGAGTCCTCCATCCACTGCCACAAAGTCTGAAAACATACCACCTTCTGGACAAACCTAAGTTTCCTTTTTGAGGTAAAAGTGAATTGAACCCTAAGAAATGAAGCTGTTCTAATGATATTCAGCTTCTCTTGGCCACTGGAAGAGGGGAAATATGACTTCTATTCTCCATTGTGGAACTGTAGGCCCAAGAAGCAGTGTTTTCTCTTAAAGTGTTGTAAGAGAAGCCACCTCTACCCTCCTAACATGGATAGTGACAAATGTATTGACAGCATTGCTCAAAATATATCAAAGTATTCTTGGGCTGGGAATTTAGCTCAGTGGTTTCACCGCCTACTGCGCAAGCGCGAGGACCCAAGTTCGATCCCCAGTACTAAAAAAAAAAAAAGTATTCTTTTGCAAGAATTCTAAAATTTTAAAATCTTCATTTTTTTTTTTGGTACCAGGGATTGAACTCAGGTCCTTGAGCTTGTGAGGCAGGCGCCAGAACCACTGAGCTAAGTCTTCAGCCCTAAAGTCTTTAATTATTAACCCATTTATCATCCACAGATTTGGAACTGTCTTAGGAATTGCTACCTGGTTTCCTTTGCCACTTGGGAATAAGAGTACCTAAATGTTTCTGGGAACTACTTCTAATGCACTAAACCCAAACAGCTAATTAAGATATACCTCTTCCCTTTTTTGCTCCAACAATACATGCTATTCCATCCTTTCTGCCACTACATGCTTGCAACTGTACTGCATTTCTAACCCCCGGCTCTGATCTCCTCCACCTGCTCCAGAAGAGTGGTGTCTATATTTTGGACTATTTCTCATGACCAGCCCCTGACAGCCACTCTTGGTCCCCGCCCCCCGCCACTCCCAGCCATAATTTATACGAGAAAAAACTTTATAATTCTCAGCTAACAGGATTCATAGTAAAATAGGCACATAAAGTATCGCTCTGGGAGAAACACCTTTTCACATCCAGGTGAGCTCCCTCCCCAGCCACTTGGCCATCTTGAGGTTGGACTCACCGGGCTGGAAATCCAAGGGTCTGAACCTTCCCCTGAGGCGATACTTCTCTCCCCTGTTCGTTTAAGTTTCTTTTCCCTCCATCTTTAGATTCCTGAGGCTAAGAAATGAGGAGAACCAACTGACCAAGTTTTTTTTCAGTGTTTGGGAGAAAAAAAAGAGGTTGATTTAAAATAGATGCTATTTCCGACCCACATCCCTCTCCTTAAAGCCTGCTATATCCATTTCCACTTCACCTCGTCTCTCCTAACACAGTATCTTATATCTGAAAGACCCATGAGTCTAAAGTCATATATCACGGTATTTATTCTCATTGAGACTGCTGACGTTACTGCACCACTTTAGGAAAGCCCAGGCCTCTCTGGGTCTCCGTTTTCGCGTAAATCCCAAGTGCTCTTGGCCGACAAAGATGTAGCTTTCGTTTAGACAGCAGGAGGCGCTATCTCGGGCGGCTACATCCATTCCCCGCCCCTGGCGGCTCCCGCGGACACTCGTGCGCAGGCGCGGCTTCGCGGATTGGCCTTGAGCGGGAGCCGTCATACCGTGGCGGGTCCCGGCCGCGGGGCTGGCAGGTTGAGGGGAGAAAAGATGGCGGCATCGGCGGCAGCTGGTGCGGCCTCCGGGTTGCCGGGTCCAGTGGCACAGGGATTGAAGGAGGCGTTGGTGGATACGCTCACTGGGATCCTGTCCCCAGTGCAGGAGGTGCGGGCGGCTGCCGAGGAACAGATTAAGGTGCTGGAGGTGACAGAGGGTGAGTAAAGAGGGACCGTCACGAGGAGGGCTCGGACCTCGGCCGGCCGCACAGTCCGCTGACCGCAGCTCGGGACTGGCAGGGCACATGGGGAGCTTGAGGCCCTGGAGAACTGGGCCCCTCGGAGTGGAATAGGAAGAGAGAGGTTGGTGTCGCTGGTGGCCATGGAAGTCCCAGAGAGGGGAGGCGCGTCTGCTGGGAGAGGGTCTGGGGAGGTGGAGCCTCGGGGGGAACGGGAGGGTGGAGACTTGAAAGGATCGATGGAGCCTGGTATCTGCAGAGGACAGAGATGGAGCTCGGCTCCGTGCTGTGGGTGTCGCGCTGTCTGGGAAATATTGTTTGAATTTAGAATCAGGGCCATGTGGGGTTCTCTTCAGCCCGGTTGTAGTGGGATTAAAGTACGGGAAGCTATTAGTGGCGAGAGCGTAGGGCCTTGGGAAGGCAACTATCGAGGCTTAGTGGGTGTCATCAAACAAGTTTCTGCCTCTGAATTTTAAACTGGCTGGTTTAAACACTTCGTGTCTTCCCAAAGATTAAGTTAAATGCATATACGGTTGCTTCATCTTCTTGATGGTACTCCCCGTTTATTTTCAGAGTGATTTGCAATTATTAAATACCCCTGTGTGCATTTCTTTGCGAAGCAGCCGATCTTCCTTTGTTTTTGATTCTTTGTCCCCATCCTATTATGTGCTTTAAAGTGATGGAGAAGGAAATAAACTACTGGTTTGAGATTCTCTGTTAATTTCCAGCTGAGTTGGCTTTCATCAAGTTCACTATAGCCACTTTACGAAGAACAGTTTAATCCCACAACAGGAGAAGGGAAAATCTTGATCTCTACATAAGAAACACATCTGGTCAGAGCTTCACTGAACTCCAAAGTCCTCAGAACCCCCCAACTCAAAGAGAGTATTTGCACTACTCCTTCAATTTAGGCCTCTTCAGAAATAGGAGAAACCGTCTGTGGTCTGACTAATCTCACTCAAAACCTTGAGTTAACTCTCTTACTGGACGTATTTTCGAAGGAAATGAAGACAGAATCTCTCTTAAATTTAGTTTTATATTCTCTTCTATAAAATATCAGACCCTACAAGAGGAGGAACCATTGTGAACACGAAAGCTATTTGAAAGCCATGCATAAATTGATCTGAAGGGTGTTTATAGCCTCCTGGGTAAAATTCCTTTATTCACACTAATGTCTCTGCCTCCCCTGGGTATGAAGAAGGAAGAATAATGGAACAAAGAAACCTCATCAGATTTAATTTGCTCTATGAATATAGTTGATGGTCTGATGCAAATTGATTGTAACTAAACCTTCCCAGAATCATACCCGGTGTTTCTGGTGCCCCACATGTACGTCTGATACTTAGGAAAGGTGGACCTTGGTTTAAACTGTCCAGCAACACCACATTGGCTCTGATCTCTTCTTCAGCTCCAGTCAGATCCTTGTTCTCATTTAAGCAAAGCCAATCATAACTTCTTGAAGTCTTCTTGAAGTTCTGGTCTCCCACTTTTTTATCTTTTTGGGTCTTGAAATCTAAATTTCAAAAGTGCAGAAATTTGGTCTAGGCCAGTGGCAGGAAATAGATGGATTCCTCCTCACCTCTTCTGCCTCTCTCATAACTTCCTGGTAATGTGCTTATGTGGTATGCTGTGGGTATGGAAAGGGTTTGATACAGTAACCTGATATTGGCGGTCTAGTAGTGAGGCATATGAGTCAGGTTTAGGATGTGGTTCCAAGGTTGGATCAAGTCTCTGGAGTTGAGTGTAGTGCATTGGGCCTTTTAGAGGCTGCCTGAGTCTTTAAAATAGGCTAGTTTCTTATGTTTGTCAAAAACTAAAGATTACCCCCTTTTGTGCCTGTTTTTAGTGGATGATGGTGGTTCATTTCTTAGAGTATCCTTCTCTTTTGTGGGCTTTAACAAGTTTTCTTTGCGATTGGGTCCTGAGTACCTCCCATCTTACACAGTATTCTGTCTGACTCTCAGATGTTTTATTGGGGGGGGCCGTCTCAGATGTTTTCTGAACATAGGTTGTGCTACACCAGCCATAGCTCTTCTTTACATGAAAAGATAGCGCACACACACACACACATTCTTTACATGAAAAGATAGCACACACACAGACACACAGACACACACACACA